AAGGCTGGTGGTAGGTGGCCCCTCTGCAGAAACCCCATCCCCACTGCTGCTTCCTGGTCTGCAGGATCTCCTTACTGTAAAGTCAACCTGGGAAACCCTGAGGGGCTCCTGGGGCAGAAGGTTTCCCACCAGTTCCCCCCTGGGTGGCTCCCATGACTGTCTGCACCAGCATGACAGGGAGTAGGCAGCTGACAGACCCCATGGGATGCTGGCCAGAGGGGGATCCCACAGGCAGCAGTTCTTCTGGTGTACAGAGCGTATAGCTCCACAGAAGGGAGTACCTACCCCCCAGAAATGGAGTGTCTTAAATTGCCAAGATGTTACAGATAACACCTGCAAGAGCAGATATTTGATTTTTATTCTTTGCTTGAGCTCAGTTTGGAGATGTTTGCTGTTGTTGCAGGGTGATTATCTTAACGATTTTGGTCACAATGTTCTGTTCTCCTTTTTCTCCCCTGCCTTTGAATGACATTCCTGAGCAAAATGAATTTCCTTTGTGCTGCTAGTGGTGACTGCATGTGCTTACATATTATTTACACCACTTTTACACCATTGCAAGACCCTTTATTTTGATGGGTTGTTGCCATTTAAGTCAGTTTAAGGTAGAGAAGAACTGAGCTGCTTTCTCTTCCTCCACCAAATCTCCAGATAATTACCAATCATAGTAAAATATCCCCTTGTGCTGATGTAAGTTATTGGTATAATAATTGATCGTAAAGAACATTTTAAATGACAGTGTAGGTCTGTTCATCCAGATGGTCTGCAAAGACAAAATTACTATGTTTGTACATATCTACTAAAAAGTACTCTTCAGTCAAACTAAAGGCATTTGAGAATAAACTACACATTAGGTCTGGGCTCTTTTAGTTACTCTGAGATCCAGCCCTGTTCAGCCATCCACCTCCCATTTTCCTGAGAACACATTTTTCCCTGCAAGCAGACTATAATGGCACATCAGTAAGCTTCTGAAACTTTGAGTTTTTAGGGAACTGGTTATTCAATAACAACATAATACCATAGATCTATATGAATTATCAAAAATAATTTCATGGATATATATTTTCTGTCCCCACCCTTTCTTTCTTGTGTCTTGTTATATATGCCTGGCATACAGACTATTCAGGGAAGAAGTACATCATTGCAGTTATGAGTAATGAATGTTACAGATATCCACCACTTGTTTAATTTGTGTCAAGAGTCAAGTATTCTTTATCTGTAGGTTTTGGTTTATCTGCACCTTTTGGGAGGTGCTTTATAATTTATTCATTAGGTTTATTTTTGGTTTATTGTACTGAAGTGCTTAAGGGTTTGTCTTTGAAAGTGTATCTTGTCAATGTTAGCTGCATTATTTAGACATACTCTGTTCATAGCTGAACTGAGCTGGTAGTGTCCATATGATAATCATGGAGTTAAATATTCTAGCTCCATAGAGTTAAATATTCTGTCTTGCACTAGCCCCTCAGTCAATATTTAAAGAGCCATTAATTCAAGCATTGGAATTGAAAGCCAGCTGGCATAGCAAACTTGACCCAGGGTTGTACCACGTTAGGCAATGATTGTCCTACATAACAAAACAAAGTAATATACATCCTGGAACATGCTTGTACAAAACAATATAGAAGAAAGAGAAGCACATCAGCAAAGCCTGGTGCTGTTCTGCATACGTACAGAGAGATAACCTGCTCTGAAAGAACTTCACCACAAGGTGAAGTGCAAGCTTCATTGCAAAGAGCTCAATTCACAGTTCTCCTTTCTCCCATTAACTGTCTGAGGCCACCATAGCAAAAGAGACACTGGGTGTACATCACACCCAAAGAACTGTCTCACAACAGTCTTTGCTTCTCTCAGCTCCAGTGTTTGAGGGTGAAGGAAGTCTTCCTTAATCTGTGCATTTCAGAATGCATAGCATTTGAAATAATTCAGTAATCAAGAGAGAAATAAAGAATACATGGTTTTAAAAAAAGCTTGTTAAGATAGCTATACTCTTGGATAAACATACATAAATTTGAGGAAATGGATATTTAACCTCACAAATGCATCAAAATACCTCTGACTTCATCTAACAGCTGCATTTAAAACCAGTTTTATACATTAAGCAAGGCAGTTTTATAAATTTAAGGGTTACGTATTCAGTTTAGGACAACTAATGCTGTTACTCATTTTTCAGACAAATTTGTGCACAGGAATTAGAGTTTCTCTGTTTCTGTGTACTCTATTTGCTGCACATAAACATGGGACAATTGCTCATGCATCTTGGTAGAGAGGACCAAAAAAACCACATGCAACTCATCAATCCCTGTCCCTGTCATGTGTTTTTTAGATGGTTTATTTCCAAATATAAAGATTCAGGTTTTATGCACACTGATAATTTCCTGTATTCATAATATAGACTTTCATACCTTGTATTTAGTAACTTTTACAAGAGTATCATCCTGAAAGGTCATAGTGGTTTTCATTCATTCAACAGAAACAGATCTGTTTAAAAGACTATTCCATTGAAGAAGGCTAAAGGAAAGCAAAAAACAATCCTATTTTATGTAATAGTAAGTGAAAACTCCGAACTCATTTTCAATCCATAGCTTCTTGGTTGCAATGGAAAGGTCAGGGCACTGACTGACTGTGTCGTAGCAGACTGGCTGAAAGCAGCATGCTTGCTTGATGCATGAGAGTGAGGAGTAGAAACCAGACATGTGGCAAAAGCAGCAGCGGATGGAGAGTGTGAGCAGAGAGATAAGCCAGCTCTAGTCACTTTGGGCTGCTCAGGTGGTAAACTTGGAAACTGTGAGCAAGGAAATAACTTGCTATTTCTTTCTGTGCACTGGATTCTTAAAGGATCACACCAGATAATTATCAGGTTTGTGTATGCTGTTTTCTGAGCAAATCACTGCCACCTGCTTCATCACTCAGACCAATACACATGCAGTGCATTTCAGAATAACTGATGTCCAAATAACTCTTTAAACCATGTGAAGATTTGCATGTGTAAGATACACAATAAAAAGCCTCTGAATGCTGAATCTAGGGTTTTGTAGAATAACAGGCTTCTTTTGTAGCTTTTATTTGGGATAATGAGTACCATTACAATCTAGTATTTATCTATATAGGATGCTGCCTATACACCTTTCATGAAACTTTATTCCCTATGGTTTTGCCAAGCCTTGGATTGGAATTTTAGGGCCTGCTAAATTCCCAATTGAAAGGATTGCCTTTTCCAAAGCAGAAGCCTTGCTGAATTTGGCTTCCTTTTGAGATAATTTCTAACTCAAAATGTTATTGCTGTTTCCAAGAATAAGATGGGGAAGTTTGTTTTTCCACCTAGATACTTAAATCAAAATATTACCAGTGTAGACAAGACCTTGCTTTGGAGGGGAGATCTGTTCCGTGAAAGAGAGGACCCCCTTCATGTCTGGAAACATATGGTGAAGTCTCCTCTAATTTTTTCCCAAGCTGAGCCACATGGTGAAGATAAGTTCAGATGATGGGTTTTTGAAAGAATTGCACTGGCTCTCCTGAAGCGTCATGGTGTGATTCTTACTACGGTTGGAAGGTATGGCCAGAGCAGGAAGGGTTTTTCTCTGCATGCTCTAAATGCTCCCTCTGGGGGTGCTGCCTTGGAGTAAGAGGAGGAAATTTCCTGATGGGGTAGTTGGGGTATGAGTCCTAGGAAATGAGGGAGATGGGAGTCAGCAGGAGTGGGGATGGCTTGTGTAATACGTTGCTCATAATGGAAGTTGATGAGCCTTGGTGAATCTTGATAAGACTACTAGAAAATTTTCCATTAACAGTATTTTGCCTGAGGATCTGGGTTTGGATAGTGATGTACCTGAAGATTATCAACCTTCAGTGAAAAATTCTTGATGTTTTTAGAGACAATCATCTGAACAGTGAAAAGTTATTCCAGCAAAGCCTGAAGAAGTTCAGTTAGGAAATATTATCCAGTGGTAACCATTCTAACTCTGTAATCTCTGTAATGCAGCTTTTGAAATATAATACATATCTAAACTTCTTTAAAAAAAACACCTTCGGGGACTGCTATGTAGGGTTCTTCACTTGGATGTTTGAAGGCAAGGAAGTATCAGTGTTCTGGGGATTCTTACCCAGATTTATCTCAAAATTTTGTTTTATTTTTCTCTCTATTCATTTCCCTGGGGAAAAAAGAAGAATTTAAGTGACTGAATATCACTTACCTCAAATGCACAGGGCCTTTAATGTGCATGTGTGCCTAACCTCAACAATAATATTTCATAACTCTGGGGTACTCTGTGTTTTACTGAATGTTGCACAAAACAACTATTTCCTAGGATGTTTTAAGATAACATGATTTTTCCCTTTTCCTCCTCAACAATAAACCCTGCAGCTCTACACGAAAGGCAGGGTCCCAAGGCTGAACCACAGCTGGTGCCTTACTTTCCCTATTCCTGCCCCATTGTCTTGGTGCTCTGGCACTCTGTCAGTGATGCCTGAGACAAACGATGCTCTTACCATATCCCAGCAACTTCATATAGATGGTGATGTCTGCCCAAGTGAAGATTAGATTTTTCTGCAGGCTTTTAAGAGTGAGAACAACTGTTTCCCAAGACTCCTACTGCAGTGGGATTACGCTGGAAGAAAGAAAAAGCACCAGCATACACAGATGGGTGTCAAATTGAGTTGTATTTCCTCTGGACCTGCAATGAGTGTACCAGTATCTGGCAGGATCCACACTTGCTGATGCTCCTGCCTGAATGTGTGTATTTGGGAGGACAGGCAGGAGTCAGCAATTAGGTGAGTTGAATGTGCCAGCCCTGAAACTTTGGCTACACTCAGGGAGCATGTTAAGTTGAAAGAAGATAGGAGAGTGTTTGAAAATAAACAACATGAGCCAGCAATCAATAACTGCCTGAAACATAAACCAACCATTAGTTCAGTCAGAATCAAGGTTCTTGGCTAATCTAGTACATGTAACTGGTCTCAAAATACGTAAAAGACTGCTGTAAGAACCCCAAGAGAACAGTCTGTTTTCACTGTCCAGGACAGTGCAGTACTGGAATGACTTGCTTGGGGAGTCTGTGGTGTCTTCATCATGGGAGGTTTTTTCAGAACAAGTTGGACAAACAACAGTGAGGAATACTCTATGTATATTTTGAACAGAGGGAGGGGAGGAATGGTGGTATGACCTTATCAGCACATTTCCAATGCCTTTTTTCTTTGACACTGTGATACTGTTATTGTGCTCTTATTCTTATTTGTTCTTCTCTTGCTACACTCCCATATGTGCCTTGCTTTTGTGTAAGGTCTGTTCAGCAGGGTTATTTATGCTGAGTGGGATATTTGCACTTTACTGCAACAATAGGACTAACATTTGGGCAGGTGCTTTCTGAACACCAAAACCCTCTTGAAATGTCAGTGAGCTGTTTCATATAATTTCAGGAGTATAATGCATGTATTGAATAACTTGTTCCTAGGTAGGGTAGTTCTGCCTAACGACAGACTGCAGGGAAAGGTTGAACAGCATAGCCATTTCTGTCTGTTCTAGTTTTGTCCTCTGGATCTGGTTGTTTGGAGGAAAGCAAATGCAGGTCCTGTGCCATGAACACAGCAGTGATAATGTATGTGCATGTGTGTTTAAAATTTCTATCCAGCACACAGTGAAATTCAGAGATTGTATAGCAACTGCCATGTTCACCTTAGAAGTAAGGTACCCTCTTTTTCCTGCAGACACTTGATTTCTGATTTATGATATATTGTCAGTGATATAGTTGCCATGATTTGTCCATCTCTGGTATGGCCAGAATGACCACACACCTCATTTAAGTGTTTTACTAATTCTTCTAGATTTTGCAGTTGTTCGGTGGTGAAATTCCAAAGTACTGGACGGGCCCACTGACCTAGATACTTGCCCATACTATCCCACACACCCTGCCACTCATGGCTGTCCAGCCTCGGGGAAAACCTCTTGGTCCTCCTACATCATCGTTTGACCCCAGACAAGACCCAAACCTGACTCTCCTTAACTTTTTAAATCAGATGACATGGTCGTGGGCAAAACACACTCTGTATGCGTGCCAATATGGTGATCCCCATCACAATCAGCAAACAAGTCTCAACGGCATTAAAAGCCCATTCAAAAACTTCAAAACTCTCAAATGACGCCGTAAACGTTCGGGGGGTGGGGGGGTGGGGGGAGAGAGACTGGAAGGATAAAAGAATGTTTCCTTCACAGGCTGACCACTCAAGAAGGCGAAAAAAGATGTGCAATTGCTAAGCTCTTCTATTATATGCCTCCCAAAGTATAAAGGTAGTGACCACACTGGGAACATAAGCCAGATCAGTTTCATGATCAATGATTCTATTGTATTACAAGTCATTACCATAAAGTACAATGAGACAAGAACCTTAGCCCAAGCCCCACACTTGAAAAACACTAATACAGCAAATACCGGATGGGAGTAAGATACGATATACTGAAACTGTGAGATTAAGAGGAACAACTTTGAGAGCCAATAAATCAGCATTGTGATGAGTGACTATTAATCCGGACAGATCTGTTGTTGTGTCAACCCTTCGTGCCCCACGTGGGGCGCCAAAAAGAACTGTCATGGTTTAAACCCAGTCAGGAAGCTCGTTCACTCATTCCCCCTTCCAAGCACTGACTGATAAGAGAAAATAATAAGGGAAGGGAATACAATACCACTCGCCAAAAAACAAGTCCGACCCAGAAAACCCTGTGTCTTTCTGGGCTTCCCCTCCTCCCTGGCAGAGCATGAGGCTCGGAAAAGTCCTTGGCCAGACCAAACATTTGAGCACTATCAGCTCTGTTCCCAGGCCAAAAGGCACTGCACTAGCTACTAAGAAGGAGAAAAATGACTGCTACTGCTGAACCCACCACAGACACATAGCAGTATCATAACAAGCTACAGAACGGGTCCATAAAGTTCCTCAAGAGCAGTGAGCAGCTCCTTTTATTCCAATCAGTGAGAGTATTCACATGATTATAGTTAGACATATGCCTAAGTGTTTTACTGGAGGTAGGCACAGGTAAAAATAATTGTACAATATTTTCAACTTGACAACAACTTGAATCAGCACCAGTTTACTTAATAAAAATGCTTAATAAAAAATAAGTGTGGAGCAAAGTAGCTTTGGTAGCACGCATCACAGCAGTACTTGTGTTGCAATTCTGCTATTGCAACAGGTGTTCTAGTTTGTTAAGACCAAGGGATCAATAACTAAATTTACAGAAAAGCCAGCTGCTTAGTGGTTAGTGGTTGTTTTAATACGTCGAGTACTACTGCTTTTGCCAAAACCGATCCTCTGAAACAGTATCTTCTAAAGCATACCAGTAACAGCCGCCTTCTTCTGCAGTCTCAAACTAAAAGATAAAATTAAGCTGCAAAGAGTATTCTGACACATTGATCTCACTGAAACATCTCTTACTCCCAAGGAATAGTAAGCCACTAAGCTCTGTAGAATCAAATATTTTCCTATTAGCTCATCCACTGCAAGTTATTCAGTCAATACATGCATGGAAAATCAGCAATTGTCCAGGATGCTCTCTATCCCATTTTTAATTCCTCTATAATTTAAAACACATGACATATACAACACATGCACAACATCTTTGACAGCAGTTATCGACCTTGCTGACAGCAGGCTGGTTTTGCAATTCATACCATAGTGCCAGTCCAGAGCACAGAACAGATTAACAATAATGTTCTTCAGAGGTAGTTAAGGAATTCTTAGGACTGCGTCAATGTAAGTATGTGTAGATGTATTTCTGCCTATATTTGAAGAAAACCATGCTGTGGATTACCTATATTTTTTAAATTTACAATGAATGAATATTTGTTTTTTAAATTATATGGCAACTGTAAGAGGAACACATGGTAAGAGTTATCCAGGAATTTCATTTAGAAAATAAATAGATGCAATACATATCAGAGATGAATTCTGTGATATTTTGGTAAACAAAAGTGTAGCTATATTTAATTGCGTAGACAGCCCATTCACAATGCTTGTCTCAAAGGGGACCTGCACTCTGCTGCCACGTAGCTCCAGTGGGGAAGCAGACAGGCAGTAAACCCAATTCTTTGCTGCTTTTATCTGCCTGAATAGCCTGAGCTCAGCTGGGGCAGAGCCGCGCTGGGGCTACCTGGTGCTCCTGCAGAGCCCCAGCAGCCTTTCCAGGGTGTTATGTTTGCAGCATGTGAACTCCACAATGTGCCCAACAACAACAGCTTGAGTTGAATGAAATGCAAAAGTGGGCAAGGGTGGAATTGGTGAAAAATGAATTTTAAAATTTCTTCCAATAAAAGCTATTAAATGGCCTTAAAAACCCCTATAGTGTGGCAAGTGTCACTTTTGGACTTGAATGTAAGGCACAGTTGCACTGCTACTTGAGTTACCATTATGAAAAGACAACTAGGATGTGACCCATGCATAGTACAGTTGAGTTCAGATTCTGAAAAGTTTATATTTTTGCCTGACAAATTCCTTCACAGGTATTTAAAGGTTCTTTTACTGAGTATTAAGAACAGACCTGTAGCTGTTTTCTGAGAAAAAACTCTTAGAGAAGAAAAATTCTGTCTGAAATACCTTCTCTTTGATTCCTTCATGCAGTTCAGCTACGTACTACTGTTAGATTGCAGTTCCATAGAGTTCTCAGCAGTAAAATAATGACCTTTACTTGCTCCAGTCACAGTGACATTTTGCACTCAATAACATAGTCATCATCTTGATGTGTCATTGAATTCAATGAGTGCATGCTCAGAAATAGATTATTTTTTTTTTTTATTACCAAAGATGAATAAACCTGTCTTATTTGAAAAGCAGTTATATACTTTTTTTTTTTTTCCCCACAGTAATGTGCTACAGACATTTCTGTGTGATTTACTCATTTCACTGCAGGGAAGATAAATTACATGCACTTTGGCTGCATTTCACCAAACGTTAGATTATGAAAGATGCTGTTATAGGAGCAATTTAAAGGTTGAATGACAATTGGACAATAAAGAATTGTTTGATATTTAAATTTCCAGCAAGAGGCTCAGGTGAATGCAGAGACTGGAACCATCTTAATATATTTGCATTCCCAACAGTCAGTTCTTAAGTTCAGGGTTATTCTATTCCATTTCAGTGTCTGATGTCAAACACGTAAGCTAAGCCCAGGTGCACTACCCTGAACTCCTTTCCCTTTTGTGAGATGAGCATGCTATTGGCAGAAGCTGTAATGGAACAAAAGCACTCCGAACATGGCAAGCATCAAGTCAAAGTGAAGAACAACAAAACTGACAGTTAAAGGAGACCTTGAGCAGTTTAGGTTGTCTATGGAAGTCATTCAGGACTAGACACAATCCACCTCCTCCAAACATAAAATAAAAAACATTGCTTCAACTGTCCTACTTCATGTTTTCTCCGTTAACTATTCCCTCTCTTGAAGCCTCTTCCATGTGCAAGGGCAGTGCAGCTTTACACCTCCTGCTCAGACCAATTCTGTTTGAGAACAGCACATCATGGGTGCTCCATGCTGGAGTCACCTGGGGAGCCAAAGCTTTATACTATCCACCCATCTCCTCCCAGCAACCTATGGCCAACCTTGTATTTTTCCAATGTCACTCTCCTTTTAATACAGCTGTAAGACTATATTAATGTTCTGTAGCCAGGAGGAAGAAAACATTATTCCTGAATATTCCTGAAGTCCTTTGTAACAACTGGTAAAGCTGTAAACAGGTTACAGTGTTTGTTTCCCCTTGCTATCCTGCTTCAGTCAGAGCCAAGACTGCCCCCTTTCCTGCTGCTGGCTCTGTGATGAGGATGGCTTCCTTGCAAGTAGCATTCCCTCTTTGCTAATTATTAGCCTGAAAGGCCTTCTCTTCAAGAGCATTTACCATAGCCTGTTTAAATTTTCTGCTGCTGTTTTTGTCCACTGTATGTGTTCCTCTGATATTATTTTGAACTGGAGAAGACTCCTCAATTAGCCTGCCTGAGAAGGGAGCCATGACCAGCTATGGCAGCTGTCATGCAACACTTTTCAGACTGGGATTTCCCCTTCCCTTCAGTGACTGTAAGGTGAAATGACTATTGCAAAGAGCTGAGAGCATCTTTGTGGGGTGGCAAGCTC